AAATACATTCATGCAAAATATTACACCAGAGGAGGAGGTATGCCTACATTATAAATGAAGGGAAATAGGAACTCAGATGAACCTATATACGGCATTTATTTTTAGAGAAAAAGGAGGACTTGAGGCTGCTGTATGAACTTGTTACTTGAAATAAAAGACCCTAAGAAAGAGCCAAGCAATCAAGGAAATAGAGATCAGAGCAGAAGTGATAGAAACATTGCTATTTCTAGTGAAGAATCCAGGAATGAGTACAGGAATGAGGTTCATCTGATGAGTGTAATGACAATGAAGCCATGCAGGATGATGACAAAAGACAAGAAAGCTTACTATACACAAGAATGAAAAACGCCACCACTTATGGCTGCCACTATACATACTTAAAGGTCAGCCTTATTTCATTTAGAATATTGACAGATGTACTAGGTAAACACCTTCCTCAGACTCTCTCTTTGCCTTGTGTCTATCATTGTAAAGACAGTTTGGAAGGAAATATTTGAAAATAATCCAAAGTAATTTTCAGGAATCATAAAACTAACATAATAGAATTTATTATACCATGAAACACTTTGAAAAAGTTATCTTGAATGTGAATGCACAGGAGCTCATAATTAAGTATCACTTTTAATTTCTCATTAAATATCTTTCTCTTTAAGGCAGCGCACATACACACACACACACACACACACACACATCAACAGCACTAATCCTAGTCTTAATCTTGCTCTTCTTTATCACTATCACACTTCAAGAACTAATCTATGGTTAGACAGCTGCCAATAATTCTATATAATGAGCTCAATATTCTGTACCAGTGCCTCACAGACAGAATTTCCTGGGGAGCTTAATAAAATGTAGATTCTTGGGCTCCACTCCAGACCAAATGAAATAGAATCTCTGGAGGTGGGGCTTTGGAATACAAATTAAGCTCTCAAAATAATTCTTAAACACACTATAATTTGGGAACCACTGTTTTAAATTTTGCCCTTGGAGAGAATAAGTTCCTTGATGGGAGTCTAATCTGTATTTATTCTCTAAGACCCAACCCAGGGGTTATTTTCTCCAGGAAGATTTTTCTGAACTCCACATTGTACTCCTGTGCTAAAGTTATATCATTCTGTGGCTATCCCCACCTTAGCATGCAAGCTCCATTAGGGCAAAGACTTTGTCTACCCAATTTGTTATCTCTGCATTTGTAGCACTTAGAAAAATACATGGTACATAGTAGGTACTAATGAAGACATAAATAAATCCATGCATAAGATTCATAAATATTGAGCCATATAACAGTATTATTGATTTCCTCCGTAGGGAATTGAGTTTAGTCAATATTTATAGTGTGCCTACTATGAACAAGGGGCACATAAAGATAACAAGATAAAGCATTAAGTACTACCGAGGGGCGAGACATATGTAATAAAATTAGCTGTAATCCAGTTAAACCTTAAGAAAGGGTAGAGAAGCAACTTAAATTGCAATCAGAGCGCAGAGGAAGACAAGTCTTTCCTTTCACCACTGGTATGGGCAAGATACGTGTTCATGGACACAGGCTATCCACTTCGTAGGGCAGAAAGGGGATCATGTACAATTAAAGTATTTTGGATTCCCAACAGTGGACAAGGAAGAGAACAAATTGATTAATACACTTTCAGAATATAAGTAAGTATAGGGTAAACTGGCAGAGTAAATTAATCCCCAAGTCTTTGAAAATATGTCATCTACAAAGTATGACACAAAAGTACCATCTGTGTCCCCAGAAGACAAAAAACCCCTCTAATCTTCTTTTCTTCTTTGCCTTGTATTTCTCTTTCCCAAGCTCTGTTTTTTCCTTCTCTTTTTCTAGTGCTGCCATCCAATTAAAGTGGGTGGGATTACTGATGAATATAATGTTGTCCTGTTTTTTCTTGCAACTAGTAAAGAGGAATGCAATTGCAATATGTATAATATAGGTTTTAGAGTAATGTATATGTGGGCTCTAATCCCAGTTCTATTATTTACTTACTGGATGACCTTAGGCAAGTCTGTTTAACCTCTATCCTGCAGTTTCTTCATCTATAAAATGTTGATAATATCATTTACCTCATACCACTGTTGTGAGAATCAAAATAATAAATTATTGTGCTAGACCTTACTAAATTATAGCGGTTACCATCATCATTATTAGACATTTTGGTGGATACAGACGATGTTTTAAAGTGAATTTAAGAAAAGTGCTCCATAGTACGTTTAACCTTGTGCTCAATATTGAGTTTGGTTGGTGACGATGATACTGATGGCCACCTCCAGTGTAGGTCATGGGTGAACTGGGGACAGTAAAATGGAAAAAAAAATGAAAACTTCCGAATAATAGCTATCAATGAGAAAAATCTCTATGAGTAGACTATCTAGTTTATGTAGGCAAATGGCAATTTCATGGAAGTGAATTTGTGTTATCGCCATTAACAGCTGGATAGAGACCTTGAAAAATTTGTTGGTGACTGCTGTTGTAGTTTCATCTAAAGTTTACACTTTCAAATAGCCTATCTCTCAGTTCACTTGAAAAACTATGATATCATTTGATCTCTATCTCCATCTTAAAGAACACCCTCAGTTCTATGAACTCTTGCCCCACTGGTTCTACCTTCCTTTTACAAGCATTGATTATGCTTCTGATTCACTAGATAAGTGAAAATGATGATGGTATGAAGAAAATGATTTAACATATAGCCCTGGGCTTCTGAACTAGACTAGATGAAAGTGCCCTACCAGGCCCTACACTTAAACATGTATGTATTAATAAGGGTAGTTTAGATATTTTCTCACTGGTTTTTCTTTTTTAAAAATTGTGATTCAGTTTATTATTTTTGTCACTAAATACAACATTATTGAGAATTCACTGAATGCACAGTAAGAAAATACGCAAAGAGACTTCACACAAAATGCGAATAGTACAGAAGACATAAGATTACGGGAGAAAACTTCTTAAAGGTAAGAGGATATACTAAACAAATTCTTTTCTGATTTAAAATACACTTTGCGGGCTTCCCTGGTGGCGCAGTGGCTGACAGTCCCCCTGCCGATGCAGGGGAGGCGGGTTCGGGCCCCGGTCTGGGAAGATCCCACATGCCGCGGAGCGGCTGGGCCCTTGAGCCATGGCCGCTGAGCCTGCGCGTCCGGAGCCTGTGCTCCGCAACGGGAGAGGCCACAACAGTGAGAGGCCCGTGTACCGCAAAAAATAAATAAATAAAAAATAAAAATAAAATAAAATATACTTTGCTTCCTGGGCAGTAATAAACAACTACATGTTGCAGCTCATTTGGGAGACAAATAAAACTTGTAATTCCATGCTCAGGAGCTCCCATGAATGCCAGTCAGTCGCTGTATTTGGACTATCTCATTTTATTATAAAACTTAGGGGATTTTAAGAGGAAAATAAGAAAGTGGGTTATCTTTCTCAAGTTTCTCAGACAACACCTGCTGCCCACCAGTGGGCCCCTATTTGCTTTAATTGCTAAGATACAATATTTTGCCTTTAAGCTTTCATGCAAATCCAAGCACACAAAGGAGCAGTAGTACCGTCTCGTACGTTAGATTCAGTAGAGTGAGTGGGTCTCTTAAGCCCTATTTAATCTTTTTCTAAAATAAGAGACAAATTTGGGGGAGTAATTACTCTAAGCTGTGTCAATCCAAAGGATAAAAAGATATATATTTTGCTGTGTGTGGAGGAGAATGGCAGCAAATAGCACCCAAAACCAAATATAATTTCTCGTAAACATACGGAGGAGAAAAATAATCCATAAACTTGATAAATGCTTTTCTATTTAGTTAGCTGAGAAAGCCAGGGCACCTTCACCTATACAAATACATATATATATGTATATATACACACACACACACATATACATATTGTATATATATGTTGTGTGTATAGGCATGTGTGTGTGTGTATACAGATACACATACATACACTTCATAATCTTTGAGGACTTGGCAGCTGGGGTGGAGGTAGGGTCTTTCTTGAAATATTTAAAAATTGTTGATTAAATTTTAGGCCATACCGGATTTGATATACTCAGACCAGATAAACCCCTAAGGATGTATCCAAGCACACACACACAATTCTGGGCATAGTCTGAAGAAAGACAGATTTAACAAATAACATTTAGTTAGTGTTCTTTTCCTTGCTGTAGGAGAAAGCACCAAGCTGGTCTCATATGTATTTGATTAGGCTTTGTTACAGCTACAGATAAGACTCTTTTTATTATTAGGGCGATCCCAGTTGTTAGCAATGCAGTTAGTTGTTTCAAAGCCAGAAAAGATACTTGCAGCATCAAATGCCTAAAACCAATTTCTCAGTAAAATCTACTGCCCCCCTTCCAATCTCTTTGCATAACTGTTGCTAAAAATACTTTCATGAGATATTCTGTCATTTGATTCATGTTTTAACTTTATAACCTAACTCATTTACAAAACCCTGGAAAATGCTCATTAATGTAATAATAAAAGAATAGATTTTCCCCTTTAATGCAACTCTCTAACACACATTCTTAAACCCCATGTCACCTGATACGGCATTTGTATTTTATCATATAACTCATATGTATGAATGCATAGAGCTGCCATTTTTTAAACTAAAAAATATTAGGAGTTCACTGTCCTTTTGGGTTTCTTTTAAGGCCTTTCAGTACAGCCAAGCTGAAGTAATAATATCTATGCATGGTTTTGTTATTATGGTAATAACAAGTTCTAGCTTATAATAATACATAGTACTTAGTTGGGACTAGGAACAATGATATACCGCTTTTTAGTAATTGGTAAATAGTATGTTTCTAATTTAACTAGAAATTAGAAAGAGAAAAAAAATATTTTTCATATATAAAAAACATATTCTATTTAATAAAGTATATGCATAAAATTATATATTGGATAAGAAGCAAAATTAAAAAGAAAACAGCTTATAATATTCCTGGTAATCAGAGTTCCTAAATATAAAAACAACAAATGCCTTGCCATTTAAAAAAATTAGCACATTATACAACTTTTACATACTTCTGAGGAAATAAAGATCTTGTGACACTGCTTTGAGGAATCTAATCTTCACATTTATAAAAATTGAAGGCCTAATTTTGCAAATACAACTTTCAAGCTGTATGAGCAAATTTAACTTACATGGAAGGCACAGGATGACATCACGCTGAAGAACGTACCTGTAAATCTCAAAAAATCTAGTCACAAGTCACTAGAAACTTCTTAAGGAATCTCAGAACTGTTTTTAACATGATGTTCTGATTCACACTTAGAACTGGAGAGTCTTTAGATCACAAATACAAATTGAAGTAAGAGTGAAGAGAACTGTTTCTTATTTGAATGCTACCTGCTTTATGTAGTGTTGGTTACTAAATACTCAGAGCAGATGATTAAAATTTTCTTTAACTTGAATTGTTTTCAATTTTCAACAGCTTATTCACTATATTTTTTTAGTTTGTAAAAAATGTATTTTCACGTTATTACAATTTTAAAGAGTCAACCATTGAAAGAGATTTTAAAGTGAAGTCCTGCTCTATTAGCTTCCTACATTGGAATACAAGAATACAGGAAGTGCTTTCAACAGAAAGTTACATGGTCTACAGTACAACCTGTCTAGAAGACTTGCAAGGGACCAGTACCGTAACTTGGTCTCTTTGGATCAGGCAAAATCAGAGGCAAATGAAGAAGTGAGCTTTTCTTAAAATAACACATAAAAAACATTCCCTTATGAAAATGAATACTTGCTTGCACTTAGATTTAGTGCTATTGAGAAGAACTGAGGCACAACAAAACTAAGTGCACAAAGGGAAAATATCTGAAATAAAATGATTTTCAATGTGATTGAAACCTTTCACCATTAGATCTGACTGACAACGCTGGAGAATGACTTTCGCATATTAAAGAACATTACGAACACCAGGGATGAGCCAGTCAAAATTTGTCCTGTGTATATGTAGGGTGACCTAAAAGGGTGCTGTAACTAAAAATTCTGATTTTCAAAATCATTTATAATTTTGATTTTTCATAAAATTATTGGCTCTTTTGCTAGAGTAAAATTAACTTCAAACCAAAACGATGCTCTTAAAGTTCTGGAGGATTGTCAGTTTAAGAAAGATGAAAGTTTCTCATTTTCTCAAACAAGCTCTACTAGAGACACTTCTTTTCTTCATTTATGTCCGTATTAGATGTTCTTTCCACAGAATTTAAAGCATTTGGGTAGAATGTTAAAGATGGTTCTTCAAAGAATAGATCTTCCCATGGTGACTAGGTAAGAAGAGTAATGTTGTACTCAGAAATGACGCTGCCTTGAACTGCAATTGCTCATTAATCCTAGTCATCACGACTCTAGCAACGCGTGCCATCTACATACTTGCTGTCCTTTCGACTCTTTCATTTCAGTCCAGTGATTGAGTTCCTCTTCTCCAGAGCTGTTCAGACCTAAAGAAATCCAGCCTATCATCTCTTTTCTTTTCATGCTGCGTTTGTTATACACAGACAGTATGAGTGTCACATCAGAGAGTTGAAATAGGGCCACTTGAAAAACAAACGTTTCCTTGTATACTGGATTTGGCTGCCCTCTGCGGATGGATGTCTTGCATTTGGACATCTCTTGACCCATGGAATTCAGTAGAGTTAATTTAACATATGTATCTATAGAAAAAAACAACATACCACAGATATTTGAAACAAACTCAAAACGTCTTTCTTGTAACACTTGTTGAGAAGATTAAGTGTTTATACTTTATAAGGATATGGTGTATACCATGTTTAGTAGAAATCCAATAATTCCATTTTGATTAAATGATAATAAAATGTGACAAGTACAGAGAATGCTAAGTAGGCATCAAATCTTTTGGGGGTAATAATATCTTAACCTCACTATTTCTACATTAGAGTTAGAATTTAAAGGTATACCTCATAATCCTTCCTCCACCCTCCCACCCCCATCCTTGACCTCCCACTACCCGCCCTTCCCATCCCCACCCCCGTTTAGCTTCACTAAGCAGGACATCATAGCATTAATAAACACTTAGCAAGCTCAATTAGCCACAACACTGTAAAGCATTCCACTGTGCTTTCAGAGTGTAAGAATAAACAAACGAATAGAAATGAAGGCAAATGGTAAGGAGGGAAAGAGAAAGACAAGAATGCAAAGATGACATCAAAACAGCTTAGGATGAAATGTCAAAAAAATCTCTGCATGGATGTGGTTTTTAAATATATTTTTAAAACATTTAAGGGCCAATATGAAGCCAAATGCACTAAGGGCTCAAAGTTTAGCAAATCAAGTAAAACTTTCTCCTGGTTTCATGCAAGAATACATTTAATGTGCTTTTTGGATAGTTAAATACTACAGGATTCCTTTTTGACACAATTTAATGTGAAATTTTAGGTATGGTATCTTAACTATTTTCATGAATTATAAAAAAAAAAATTGATGTGATGTTTAGTGTACCAAGTGAAACATAACAGTTCATTACCTGGTTACTTGGGAGATAAACCCTCTTTTCAAACAACTGTGTTTTCAAGTTCTTTAGACTCATGCAAATTATCTTCAGCATGTAGATCCATCATGTGTACTTCATATCAAAATTTCAATTAATTTTAATGAAAATTGCAATATTTCTCATGAAATGTCTATTTCTACTTATGAGTCAAAATATAATGAATGAAAAAATAAACCTTTAATTTAAAAAGTTTTGCTAGTTTTATAGATACTCTGAATACCATCATCCATAATCAGAGATAAATTCTAAGTTAGTTTTCTTTAAAGTACCACAGATAATAAATGTGCATTTTTTTTGGAAATCAACATGGTGGACAGCTTCACTGCTGGCAAGTTTTAGGGTATTTTGTTTTTGCATGAAAAGACAACATCCAATTAGCCTCTACAGGAACTCACCTCGGATTATATAAACCTGTCCACCTATCAAGTGTTTTAGACAACAGAACAGTCCATCTGACAACAGGGGGTGGAAAGCAGTAAAAGAAATAATGACCAGATGTCAATTGTTGGGTGAAAGAGGGTCAAAGGTTAGAATTAAAGAGGAAACACTGTTCACTGGAGTGGAAGAACACAAAACTTTAGCATTTTAATTCAGGTAGAGGGTTGAAAAAAGGGTATGTTGGGTAAATTTCATGGAATGAGAATTTTTAAGGTCATTGTGTCATCTTAAACAAAAATTACACTGTTTTAAAGGGGGACACCTTTATAAGGACATTTTCTTGGTCTAAAGCACATTGAACATAGAATCATGCAAATTATCGGACCATAAAAGACTGAATAAAAGTCATTAAAGGATCATTATTTTTCTAAATTTTTAAGTTTATCCATGCAATATTTAACACTTCAAACACTTTTTTTTTACTCCCAATGTAATATAAAATTAAGTTATGCAAAATAAAATAGAACTACCAAAATTTTTGTTCTTGAATGTTACCACTGTTCCTTTGGGATAAAAATTGGATTAGTCAGTCTATAACATAGTTCAAAATTTAGAACCTAGGTATATATGAAGGGTCACAATCTTACATACAATAGACAGACAAACTGATAAAATTGTCATATTTTACTTTATAAATACTCTACTTCATATAATTAGTTTTAATGTTGACTTATATTTACCTACTAGTTACTTCCCAGCTAATACCATGAACTGTCCTACTACTGAAGATCTAATTCTAAAATAATGGAAATTGCTATAACCTATTCTTTAACCTGATAGATCTACTCTATGTTGTGGATGCAAATCTCTCTTAACTTGTTTATTGTCCATCCCTACCTCCACCCACCCCCTGCTTCATTTTAGTTCTGATTAGTGTTTCTCTGTTTCTATCAGAGTGGGTTCAGCAACAAGGACAGAAAGGCAAATCTGTCATTTCATTCTGCTGCTTTCTAGCATTTCAAGTTAAAGATTTGTCAAAAAATTAAACTATTAGCTAAGCAGGAATTGCAAACTGACAGCTTGTGGCTAAATGTAACCCCAAATAATAGACCACGTTCAAAAATTTTGAATCTGAATGTCTTAAGGCAGGGTGTGCACCCCTGCATTTATCACAGGCCTCTCCATGCTCCTTCTCTCTCATCTACAAATTCTGCTCATTTAAGTTACTTCCCAGGCCATTTGAGTTTGCATTCCTAGTGTGGATTAATGACGATAACCAAGTCACACTTCCAAAGCTCTTTACTCTAGTAATTGCTTTTTTCCACCCTCTGAATGTTTCCTTCTGAAAGGAAAAAGGGGACAAATAATAATTCCATCCTTTTTACGTGCCTTTATCTGATTTGAGTATCACAGTTACCCTGTGAGAAACACAGCCTTAATTTTACATATAAGGAAACAGCCTTAGGGAAGTTAGGTCACTCGTCCAAGGGTAGAAATAGAAATCTAACTTTGGCCTTCTGACGTTTAATGAAGGCACAGATACATTGCATGATGTATGTAAGAAGTGAGGTTTCCAGTACTACTGAGGGCACACTAAATATATTTTTATGACTTTTCACTTTGATTGAAAAAATAATTTTTAGGATATTTAGAAGTAAAGTTAATTCAAGGGTGGAAAAAGTTTCCCCTCCAACAGTTATTTGATACTTGGAGTGAAATATTGCTTCAAGCAAGTCTGTAAGAAATTGTTAAACAAATTTAAGGTTGGCATTATTATTCAAGATTTCCTTTCAAATTTTGAGTTTAGGCCGTTATTAACAGCTTTAATTTTAGAGAAATATAAAGAGGCTGCTACTTTCCCAGTTCATTTCTACAGATCACAATAAACAATTTTGGAGGTATACTGCATGACAATTTCTCTGTGCATAACCTATCCCCAGCCTCCTGAGCTGGGAGAGAGATAAGAGAGAGAAGAGTGAGAGGCATATAGACAGGGCAGAGGTATCTACACCATCTAGCCTTCCTTTCCTAGCATCGAGCATAAATATCAAACTATTCCTTATTCTGTTTGTCCTGGTAAAAGCAAAGCACATTCCATTTAAGAAAAGATTCTGCTGGCAGTACTGATTTATAATTTTAAAGGAGGAAAAATGTGAAGAAACAGTTTTTTCTTAAATTGTTAAGGGAGAAAAGAAGGAAAAATATAGAAGTACACACATTAGTTCATAGTACTGCATGCAGACAGGAAACATGACATCGATCTTCAGTTAAAAACAACAGCTATAAGCATTCGTCATCATATTTGTGGAGTGTTACTACCTTTAAAAAAAAACCTGTAACTTTTTCTGGCATTAGAAGATAATGGCTATGATGGGGCTAATTCATTCTGCAGACACAGAAAAAGTTAAAGTCTTGCCACCTTACAATTAATATTTTGAATTTCAGATCTTTCTACTTCCCAAATGGCTGGAAATAGAAAACATGAAACAGATTAGCTGATGATTAAACCATCATTGATTGGTTAAGACTAAATGATAGGACTGAAGGCCCTACACTGCGAGTCTCATAAGTACAGAAAACACTAGAATTAAGAAAAATATTTTTCACTCACTGGGTGGTCTGTTTGCTGCCAAGTTTTTGAAGTGGCTGCCTTTTATCACTTCTGCTGATAGTCTCCCAGTTGTGGCATTATAAAGCAGGCCAATGAGGATTTCTGGAACTGAGCCATGTTCAAGAGACTGACAGGAGGATGTACTTTCACTACAGGAGACTTCTGACGCGCTCATTTGGGAGTTACAGCCCTGCAATCAAAAATGAAATCTTTATAGTATTTTGTAAAAAAAGATATATTAATAGATACATTGGTAATGCCCTGCTTATTGGAATTAGGTAGATAAGTCATGAAAAAAGCAAGAGTTGTAAGCAAAATTCCCAAAACACTAGATTAGAAATGTTCTTAGCATATTTTAGTTCCTGGATCTCTTTTCATTATACAGCAGTCAAAGGAATGACAGGAGATGAGAAGGTCTGATAAATTCTTGCATGTTTGGATACAAATCAGAGAAGATAAATTTCTTAAACTCATAGGTGTCAATGAACTCTTTCCTGAATGTAAAAAAATTGTTTAAAAGATGTTTTGACCTTAAAAGACCGACACAGATTCAGACTCAATTACATTAAATGTAAATGTCTTAAGTGTCCTTTAAAGACAAAGATTGGCAGGCTTTGATGAAATAAACACAAAATCTGCTACTTATAAGTCAATATGTAAAACACTGATACACAGAAATTGAAAAAAAGAGGGTGGGAAAATATTTACCATGCAAATAATAACCAAAAGAAAAGCGGTGTAACTATATTAGTATCAGTCAAGGTTAGCTTTAAGGCAGTAACTATTACTAGAGATAAAGAGGTACACTCAATAATGATAAAACTGCAAACTTACCAGGAAGATAAAGTAATTCCAAATTTGCATTATTTAATAACATGGGCTCAAAATAAAAGCAGCAAAAATTGCCAGAACTAGAAAGAGAAATAGGCAAATCCACAACCGGTGGGGTTGTCCACATACTCCTTTCAGTAACTGACCAAACAAGCAGGCAAATAGATACAGTAATGATGTAGAAGATTCGAATATCACAATAAGTAAAACTGACCTAATGGTAATATGCAGAACACTCCATCCTACAACTATAAAGCATACATTTTCTCAAGCATGCAGTGGAGTTTTTACAAAAATATTTATTAAAAAAGCAAACGGGGGCTTCCCTGGTGGCGCAGTGGTTGAGAGTCCGCCTGCCGTTGCAGGGGACACGGGTTCGTGCCCCGGTCCGGGAAGATCTCACATGCCGCGGAGAGGATGGGCCCGTGAGCCATGGCCACTGAGCCTGCGCGTCCGGAGCCTGTGCTCCGCAACGGGAGGGGCCACAATGGTGGGAGGCCCGTGTACTGCAAAAAAAAAAAAAAAAAAAAAAAGCAAACGGGAACTTCCCTGGTGCCACAGTGGTTAAGAATCCGCCTGCCAATGCAGGGGACACAGGTTTGATCCCTGGTTTGAGAAGATCCCACATGCCACAGAGCAACTAAGCCTGTGAACCACAACTACTGAAGCCCACGTGCCTAGAGCCCGTGCTCCACAAGAGGAGCGCACCGCAATGAAGAGTGGCCCCCACTTGCTGCAACTAGAGAAACCCGCGTGCAGCAACAAAGACCCAATGCAGCCAAAAACAAACAAACAAACAAATAAATAAATTTAAAAAAGCAAACGAATTTCAAAAATGAATTTCAATGATGGAAATCATTCAGAATGTTTTTTGAATCAGCTAGAAATCCAAACTAAGTTCTAGTGAAGAAAATTCCTATACATTTGGAAATTAAGGAAACAAATATAAATAATCCATGGGTAACTAAATGATAACTAAAATAAATTATTTGTAAAGATTAATAAAAATAGATAAATGTTAGTCCAATTCAGAAATAAAAGAGACAAGGCACAAATGAAAAAATATCAGGAATGAAAAAAGACACTACTACATATTCTATAGGCCATGAAAAGATTTTAAAAAAATGAGTAAGAACAGCTTTCTTCCAACAAATTTTAAATTTTGACGAAATGGACATATTCCTAGAATAGTACAACTAAGCAAAGTGGACACAAGAAGAAATAGAATATCTGAACAGTCTTACTGAAGAAATTGAATTTGCAATTAAAAACCTTTCCAAAACCAACAAAATAAAACTCAAAAACTTTAGCTGGATGGCTACAATAGTGACTTCTAATTAATAATATTAGTCTTATGCAAACTCTTTCAGATAACAGGAAAAGAGGAAACACTCCCCAGTTTCCTGTAAGAAACTAGCAAAACCTTAAAACCAAAATCCGACAAGGACATTATTAAAAAATTACAGGATTTTCTCATTCATAAACTTAGATTTAAAACTCTAAATAAATGCTGAGCAAACCAAATCGAGCAACATGTAACATCATACTTAATTTTTTTTTAATGTTTCCCCTTTGAAATTGGGGATGTGACAATGATGTCAACTATTACCACTTCTAATCAGCACTGCACTGGAGATTCCAGCCAGTGAAGGTCCTAGCCTTATGAAAGGCAATAAAATGAAATAAAAGGTATAATGACTTGGACTGTCCTTATATGCATACTATATAGTTATGCACATGTGAAATCTAATCAACTCCACGGAGGTATTACAGTCGCCTGCAAAGGTAAAATTTAAGAATCCATATATTCCTATATACCAGGAACAAATCCGAAAATAACATTTATTTCAAAATAACATTTATTACAACATAAAATATAAAATATCTAGGAATAAATGTACAAATGACATGCAAGGACTCTATACAGAAAACTATGACTATTATTGAGAGAAATTTAGAAGTGCTATATATACTATGTTAATGAATTATGAGGTTCAATTTTGCAATACTGTCTCCAAATTGATGGAATAAATGCAATCATAATCAAGATCTCAACAGGTTTCTTTGTGGAACTTGACAAGCTAATTCTAAAATGTATGCAGTATATATATACAATGAAATATCATTTAGTCTTAAAAAAGAAGGAAATCTGCCATATGTGAGAACATGGATGAACCTGGAGGACATTATGCTAAGTGAAATAAGTCAGTCACAGACAAATACTGTGTGGTTCCATTTATATGTGATATCTAAAATAGAGGGTCATAGGAGCAGAGAGTAGAATGGGGGTTGCTAGGGGCTGGAGGAGGGGGAAATGGAGAGTTACTGTTCAATGGGTATAAAGTTTCAGTTCTGCAAGATGATTAAGTTCCAGAGATCTGCTGTACAATATTATATCTACAGTAAACAATATTGTACACTTAAAATTTGTTAAAGGGTAGATATCATGTTAGATGTTCTTACCAGAATAAAAATAATAAAATAAATTACAAGATAGGGGGCTCTGCTCTACTGAGTATCAAAATTTATAATAAAGGTACATTATTTAAGACAATGTGATAAAACAATGTCTAAGAGACTGTTAAATAGAAAGTCCACTAAGTAATCCATGCATAATAGACAGTTAATTTACAACAAAGGTGGAACACCTCTGAAACACATATACTTCACAATTAGCTCAAATCCCAAATATGTAAAGAATACCTATAAATCAATAAGAAAAAGACAACACAATATAAAAACACTTGACAGATACTTGAATCAGCACTTTCACAAAAGAATGGTCAATAAATATGTGAAATGATGTTCAACTTCATTACTAATCAAGGAAAAGGAAATTAAAACCATGAGCTAACACTACACAACAAATAGCTGGGCTAAAACAATAGTGTGGTGAGGACACAGAGAAATGGGAAGTCTCATATTCCAATGGTTATAGTGTAAAGTGATATGTTCTTTTAAGATGTTAAAAATACACATACCATAATATCTGTCAATTCCATATATATACATCTCGATCAGGAATATGTGCAATGTTTACCAAGAGACATATGAAAGTACGTCCATAGTAGCATTATTTATAATGACCTCAAAGAGTGGAATGGATAAACAATTTGTGGTGACTTCATATAACTGAGCAACTATACTGTACATACAGTATATATACACTATACAGCAATGAAACTAATTATAGCTACATTTACAAACATGATTTTGAGTGCAAAATGCTGAACCTAAAAGGATATTTAGCTGTACGGTTCCATTTATGTAAATTTCAACAACAAAAAACCAAAACAAAAACCAAATAAAGACCAGGCAAAACTAAACCCTAGTATTTCAGACGTATGAATAGGTGGTAAAACTATAAAGAGAGCAAGAAGGTGATTAATTTAAAAGTCAAAATTTTGGTTAACTCTAGGGGTGGAGAGAGAAGAAACAGTGATTAGGAAGGACATGGGGGCTTCTGAGGGGTACTGGTAATGTTTTATTTCTTGACCTGGATGGTAGTTAGATGGGTTGTACATTTCTGCCTTTTACACTTTTCTACTATGTGTTTGGTTTCACAAGAAAAAAGATTTAATGAAAGAATTACATGACACAAGGATACAACATATACAAATTAACAATAATAAAAATGTTTAGGACTTTCTTTGAACATTCCTAAAGGGATTCACTCCATGAGTTTAAAAAAAAAGACTATAATACTATTTTCTATAACAAGTTTTTAGATTTAAAAATTACGGATTTAGATTTTTAGATTTAAAAAATCTAAAAATGTCTTATACAAGTCTTCAAGTTTGAATCTAGGTTGGCCTATACAAGTAATCAAGGAGAATTAATACATACTTGGTGACTGAATTAGCTCACGGGACTAATATTCAGAGGGATAAAAATCTCATATTTTCAAATCTAACTCTAAACCGTAGAGTAGAAAACCAAAAGGAAGATAAATCTTATATTCCTAAATCATGGGTACACAAAACACATAGTTTGGTATGTTTTCATGACAGTTGGAGGAGAAAACATAATTTTAGTAAGTTTCAATTAGGATATATCATCACTTATGAAAATAGTGTCAAAAACATGCTCAAGCACATTTGGTGCATTTGCTACATTAGGCTATTATACTAGCAGCATCTGTTAGAATACTGTGAAATACATTTTTCATAGTATAGCATTTTTCATATTAACCTACTGTCAGATAATAAGATGTGAATCTAATATTTTCTTATCAACACAGAGGTCATATTGCCGATTTTGCGCAACAAAGTGATGGCCCGAGAAAGTCTTGGGAAAGGTCTTTCTTGCTCCTGAGAAAAACAGCTAACTTATCTCCCTGCTTTACTGCTGCAAAAATGT